TATATATATATTTTTGTATATATATGTATATATATATATATATATATATATATATATATATATATATATATATGTATATATTCATGTATATATGTATACACAGCGAAATATGTACCGGACTCAGTCAATCCTCAGACCATTCTGAAGTCCCGCGAAAGAAAGGCAATCATCCATTATTTATTTTGTTAGGAAAAATGAATAATGACTGATTGCCCATCAGACAGGTCTCAAATCAGTGGCCTTGTTTGTCAAAGTTCGTGTTTCGGAGTTATAGAGTTGAGAGAGGGTTATAACCACAAATAAGTAGCCTCCTCGTCTGTAGTGGCTTTCCAATGCTGACCTAACTAACATTTTGCCCACCTTAGAATTTTAAAACTTAATTTTACTTGCTGTTTTAAATAAATTAAAATTGGCAAAATAAATATTTTACTTGAATTCTAAATAAGATATTTAAAATAAAGATACCAAAACTTTTATTTAATTTCAAAATAAAATAAGTAAAATAAACAAAACAAATGTTTTATTTAATTTCTGAATAAAATAGTAAAGATAAAAACTTTTAAAAATTCACAAACACTTTTTAAAAATTCTGAATAAATTTTGTTCAAAAACACAACAGCAAAATGAACGTTTTAAGTTCTAAATAAAGTAATTAAAATAAAAATGAAGAAAATGAGACATTAAATTCTAAATTAAATAGATAAAAAAAGAAAAACTAATGTTTTTTTTTTAAATTTCTAATAAAATAATTAAATAAAATGTCATATGGAACTTTCGATATAACTTCCAAATATGAACCTATTTAAATTGTAAATAAAACAATTAAATTAAAAATAGGAAAAACGAACGTGTTACTAATTCAAAATAAAATAGTTAAAATAAAATCAGAGAAACTTTTGTTCATTTTACAAATTTTGAAGCATATGTTGACTTTTGAAAGAAAAGTCAGCAAACTCAGTGTTTTTTTTACTAATTTTATGCATATTTGTTGATTTGTCAAACTCTGTTTCAAAATTATATGCTGACCTCATGCCGATCTAAAACAGTTATAGGTTCACAATTTTTTGTCGACTTTTTTTTTTCTAATTCCAAGGGCTGATAAAGAAATAGCCCTAGCTTATCATCTGCCTAGATCATGATTAAGTACTAATAATTTTTTCTTTATTTTTTGAAAATCCTTGGGTCTTCAGGTACTTCAGGTAAAATTGGCAGTTTTTAGGGCGTTTTGTACCATTTTTAAAAAAGTTTTTAGAAAGTATTAAAATTAAAATTTTTGAATTTTTTGTTTGTTTATGTTTTAAATAAAATGACCTCTATTCTTAAAAAAGTTTTAAAAATTGTTTTAAAAAACCCTAAAATCCATGAATATTTAGCAAAACTCATAAAAATACGAAATAATAAAATATTTTTAAAACTAATAAAAGTAATATTTTCAATTTACTTTTAATACATTATTATATGTCTCATTTAAAATCAGTTTAAAGGGTTATTCTGGAAAATATGTAAAAGAGAGGGCCTGGACAGGGAATAAAGATATGTAAAAGAGTGGGCCTGGACAGGAAATAAAGATATGTAAAAGAGAGAGCCTGGTCAGGAAATAAAGATTTCTTGTAATTAATAGTCAAATCCATACAGTTTTTTCTCAAACCTAAAAAAAAATTAAAAATTTATTAAACTATAAATAATTTAGAACCTATAATAAGTTTCTTTTAAATGAAATTACAGCAATCTCAGTAAACTTATGATCCTCTCTATTCTCTCCTAAAAAATTGTTATTAACAAAAAAATGTAACAAGAAACTAAACTTTATTTGTACTAGTGGCTATCTCATAATTTATTTTTTTCTTTCTTTTCTGTTGTCCTTATAATTATTTGTATAAAGAAAGATTTCCTGCCTTTTTTTTTAATGCTCTGTTTATTAGGTTTTGAACTAACTTAACTGCCCTTTCAGAGCAGTCATTAATAACTTCAAGTCACTTGAATGTTGCTCTAAATTCTAGATAAAAATTGTTTTCATCCATTGATTTTTTTGCCTTTCAATTTCTAAGCATGTCAAAAACTAGCCACAACTTGTCTTTTATTAATAGACTCAAATTAGGAGGCTCATATTTATTGAAGTTGAGGCTATTCAATATAGCTTGGACCATTACCTGGCGCTCTAAAGAAAAACTTTCACTTGGACATCTTTGTAAATTATACAGTTTTTTGGATATATCACAGCATTTCCTGGATGAGCTTTTTAACTTATTAATAAAATGTTAAAAAACCTGTGTTAGTGCCAAAGAACTTAACTTTGATTTTATAGCACTCTCTATGGAAAAGACAAATGAATAATGCCAGCAGTTTCTTCTTTGTGTTTTTCAGTCATGTTTTAGATTTCATTCATTACAAGATTTTAAATAGTATAAACCTTTTCCCATAAATCTTGAATGCTGAACTGGTCCCAGTTAAATTTAAACCTATGATAGAACTAAGTAAGTTCAGCTAGTATTCTTTTCTTATATTTCTGCCCTGAAGAATTTTTGATATATTTTTAATTTGTAATTTGTTTTTTTAAAAATTAGAATTAATAGGAATAAAATGAATGAAAATAAAAGTATCATTTTTTTGAAGATTTTTAAACTGATCACATTATTGGAAAACTGAACAGTGACTAGTTTTTGATTATATATCTATGTTCCAGGTGGCATTATTATTCTTTCTAGTTCCAGGTGGTATTATTATTTATTCTAGTTCCAGGTGGTGTTATTATTCTTTCTAGTTCCAGGTGGTATTATTATTCTTTCTAGTTCCAGGTGGTATTATTATTCTTTCTAGTTCCAGGTGGTATTATTATTCTTTCTAGTTCCAGGTGGTATTATTATTCTTTCTAGTTCCAGGTGGCATTATTCTTTTCAGTTTCAGGTGGCATTATTATTCTTTTCAGTTGCTTAGTTTTAGCATCTATAATGATCTAGTTTTATTATTGAACTTTAAAAAGTTTGTTTTCTGGACCAGAAGTTTTGTTGCTTGGGTAAATTTTCCAGAGATGTCTACATGCAATCAACAACGGACGTTGAAACTTATTAAATAAATCTTATGCAAATACCTTGCGTTTATCCTGTATTTGCTGAAGTTGTGTCAAAGCAGAGATATTTAACCTTATCTTTTAATCCAAAAAACTCCATCAATTCTACAATAGCTTGCTTTTAATTAACCTGTAAACTAGAATCTATTGGAAAAATGCCAAGTAGTTTGTTTTCGCATCGATCCTTACCAAAACTGCAATTTTATTTTTTTTAAATTGCTTTCCTTCTGTTAGCTCGTTAACTATTTTTTCCATCAAAGTGTATAGTCATTAGTGAACCTGATTATATTACAGCGTTTCTTATTTATTCTCTTATTTCTTGTGCCCTGGAAAATATTATGTTTTCTGCAGCTCTATAAGATGTGGATTTAGAACAAATAAAGTTTGCTACAGAACCACCAGCCATGACAAAAACACTACTAATCAATGCTGTGTGTTGGTGAGGTGTTATACCTTTTCCCATTGCTGTATGAGCTGTTGACTGAAGAGTAGTTTTAGGAAGAAGAGCATAATTTTGAACATCAGGATACTCATTTAAATCAAAGTCAATATCTGTTTCCTTGCCTAATTTGTTGCTAGTGTATCTAGCAAACTTAGATAATCTAAATCATTTTTATAGAACTCTGCTTATTTTTATTTGACTACAGAATATCTTTTATCTCTACTTCCGCTTCATTTTCTTTCAACAAGCTGGTCATTTTTATTTAACTTTTATCTCTACTTCCGCTTCATTTTCTTTCAACAAGCTGGTCATTTTTATTTAACTTTTATCTCTACTTCCGCTTCATTTTCTTTCAACAAGCTGGTCATTTTTATTTAACTTTTATCTCTACTTCCGCTTCATTTTCTTTCAACAAGCTGGTCATTTTTATTTAACTTTTATCTCTACTTCCGCTTCATTTTCTTTCAACAAGCTGGTCATTTAAAAATGTCATATCTTCTTCCTTATCTTTCGCTTTTCTCATTTTATCTTTTAATATATATTCAATCATAACAGGAGGATGTTCTCCAATCCAAAATACTTTTATTTGCTTTTCAAATAAATAACTTTTTGTTTCAGCAGGATTTGTTATGTATCTGTGATCTTTTAGCTCCTTCAACAATTTGTCAATTTTAACCTTGTAAAAAATTTTTTTAATAGTATAAAAGTTTATGGATTAAAATAACTTATTTTTTAAATTATTTTAAAAAATACCTTTTTCTAAATTAAATAAAATTAGCTGATGTATTGCAAGCACTCTGAATTTAATATAAAATATATTTTAAGAAAACATATTTACTGAAAACTTTAAAAAAATATAATTGTAGCAGTGTAAAAATATTTTTACTTGATAAATATTTATGGGTTTCAGAACTTTTTTGAAACAATTTTTATGTTAAAAATTTTTTTTTTGAGAATTTTATTTTAAAGACTTATTTAGATTAAATAAGATTTTAAAACATAAATATAAAAGTAAATCACAAATTTTAATGTTAAGATTTCCTACAAGCAGTTTTAAAACTGGTACAAAACGACTTAAAAATTGCTTCTTTTAACTTTTGAAGGGAGGATTTTTAAAAATTAAAAAAATAATCTTTAGTACTAAATCATGGTCTAGGCATGTATATATATATACATATATATATATATATATATATATATATATATATATATATATATATATATATATATATATATATATATATATATATATATATATATATATATATATATATTATTATTATTATTATTATTATTATTATTATTGCTATTATTATTATTATTATTATTACTATTATTATTATTATTATTATTGCTATTATTATTATTATTATTATTATTATTATTATTATTATTATTATTATTATTATTATTATAAAATCGTTTATGTATTTGTAATATTAATAACTTAATTTTTCACTAGAACTTTATTTTTTTTTATCTTTATATTAGAACTACTTGAAGTGTGGAAAAGTTCGCAGAAAAGGAGTGCATTCTTGCAGATTCCAATATCTATGAGTCATTGCATCTCTGTTGCAGCAAAACTAGGCTTTGAATATCACCATGCTACAGGAAATGTGGCTGTACTTTCCAGTTGGCTAGAAGAACATACTGATAGTAAAATACCATCATATTCTAATCATACTGTAGGTGTGGCAGGTAATTTTGATTTTGAGCATGGTATGGCAAGTTATTTTAAATATGAATAGGGTGTGTCAAGTAATTCTATATATGAAAATTGATATTTTAATCAAGTTTCAATTTTTTTTTTTCATTTAAAATTGTTGAATGACTGATTTTTTCAGTATTTGATTTTTTTTTACTTTCAAAAACTGTTGATAATTGAATTGCTATTGTTTCTTTAGGAGCATGCTATAATGAATTAACTTCTGAATTGCTTGTGGTGCAGGATAAGGGAATGGTAAAATTTTCATTAAAATTTTTAAAAAACTAAGAAGTTTTTTTTTTTTTTATTTGTATTGGTTATTCTCTTTTAAAAATTGTTCAAGTATTATTTTTCATAGTATTCAAAATGGTGGAAATTTCCTGGTGGTTATTCAAACAAAGGAGAGTTTATAAGTCAGTGTTTTTTTTAATTGTTATTTAATATCAATAGTGAATATTTTATTGATATTAAACTATTACTATTTAAATGTTGCACAGGTTAAATTACTTTTTAAAAGGTATAGATCAATACATGTTGTTTAAGAAGCTTGATGATTAAACAAATTATATCTTCTTTTTGCCCCAACTGTTTGTGCTTATATAATGTTTTATTGCTTAAATAAGTTTATGTGGCAAAAAAAAAAAAAAAAAAAAAAAAAAAGAGAAGGACTTATCAAAGATTTGAATATTTTTTATATTTTTTAGTATTTATCGAGCTTTTAAGTATTTTATTAAAATTTATTTATGTTTGTAACAAGTGAAGTATTATTTTTATTATTATTTTGTTGTTGTTGTTATCATTTCTATCTATTATTTTATGTTGATATCATTATTGTTTACTTCAGATTTGTTTATATTACTAGTAAATGACTGTTACTGTTTTTCGGATTTATAAATCCTGACTGTTTATTGAAAAAGTGATATTTGGAGTAAAGTTTCCAAAACATGGGGCTTATTGGCTCATAGTATTTACTGTAGAAAATAAATATTTTTATAAAATTAATAGTTTTTTTAAAAAATTTATTACAGTTTTGTGAAAATTTAGTTTTTACAAAAAAATACAAAAAATTTTCAGGGAAATTTTTACCTAAAATAAAAGTGGGCTACTGTTTTGGCTTATTTTACAAACTATTATTTGCTATCAGGTTTAAGTAATATTAAATTCCTATAAAAAATGAGTACTACCTGTGCTTTGAATAAAGTTCTTTGAAATTTAAAAATGACTATTTTTTCCTCAAACATCAGTTCTTTGGAATTTGCTTCCTTCTTCTCACTTTGCTGATTCATATAATTTGCATTCTTTAAAGTTGTCTGTTAATTGTTATCTTGCTCTACTTTGTCTTTTTTTTTCTACTACTTTGTCTTTTTTTTTCCTTCTTTTTACTACTTTGTCTTTTTTCTTCTACTACTTTGTCTTCTTTCTTCCTTCTTTCTACTACTTTGTCTTTTTTCTTCTACTACTTTGTCTTTTTTCTTCCAGTAACTTTCAACTCTAATAGTGATTGCTTGCAGCTTTGTTGGAAGTCAAGATATTAAAGAAAAAAATTTGAAAAAAACAAACAAACTAATTTGGTTGCTGAATTTGCCAAAAAGCATGTAGAAAAGTGATGGCTTTCTTTGAAATATGTTGCTGTTAGAATTCTGGAACAATGGATGAACCTTAAAAAGTATTTTTTAACATTTCTTTTATAAAATATAAAAAAAATTTAAAGCTTTGATTAAAACTAATAGATATTTAAGTTTTTTTACTTTTTCAAGATTTTGAAACTTTTTTAGTACAAACAGAATCTCCAATCATTCACATTTTTATCCTGCGATGTGTAAGCTATTAACACTTTACTTCAAAAATTTATTCTCCCAAAAAAGTTAAAAAATGATAGTGGAAAGTCACACTCTGAAATTTTAATGATTGATTTCTGCAATATTGAAAACCATAGAAAATTAAGTTCAATTAAATTAGAAACAAAATTGCTGTTGCATGAAGCTGCTTTACCCATATCAGTAAATGAAAAATTTATAACTGAGTGCAAAGAGTTTTTTTCACTTACCTTTTCATGTTTCACTTTAAAAGCATGCTCAATTTCTTCATCCACAAAAATTATTGGTGTCAAGTGGGAACTTTATGTGATGAAGCGGATAAATTAAAATTCTCTTAGCTGCTTGCTCTTGTTAATCTTATAGTCATAGCAACAGTACACCCAAAAGAGGTTTAAATAAAAATATTTTAACAGTACAACTTAAAAGAGGACACTATTGTTGCATTGAGATTAGGTAAGGTTTAAATAAAAATATTTTTATTTTTTGTAATATTACAACATTTTACGATAAACAGTTTAAATTATTGCAACACTTTTTTGAGTTAGAGATGAACTTAATCAACTAGAGTTATGGTATATATTACATGGTAAAGTTAGAACTTAATCAACTAGAATCATGGTATATATTACATGGTAGAGTTAGAACTTAATCAACTAGGTGGAATTATGAATTTTCCAATAGCGAGTAACAATTAAATGTTGTAAAGAGTCTCATCAAAGGTGTAAAGTTTATTTGCCTGAGCAAACTAGATTAGAAAAGGCTGAATCAGAAAAGATAAACAAAGTTGCTATCAAAATCTTTGCAACAGCAAAAAAAAAATGTAGAGCTTATCAAAACAGATATATTGTTTAACAGTAAACATTATCGAAACAGATATATTGTTCAACATTAAACAGTAAATTGTTCACCATTGTTTTAATTAAATTAATATATTTTCTTTATTTTATTATTCGAACTTTGCCATTAAATAAAAATATAACTAATAGAACTTTTATTGAGCAAAATATTTTCAAATTCTATTACATAAAGGGTGTTTATGTAATATATTACATGGTAGAGTTAGAACTTAATCAACTAGGTGGAATTATGAATTTTCCAATAGCGAGTAACAATTAAATGTTGTAAAGAGTCTCATCAAAGGTGTAAAGTTTATTTGCCTGAGCAAACTAGATTAGAAAAGGCTGAATCAGAAAAGATAAACATAATCTATTACATAAAGGGTGTATTTTGGCGTAAAGCCTGTTCAGCATGTTGCCGATTGTCACAGGTCTATAGGTCTATAGGGTATGCAAAGCTGGCATCAAGGTTGCAGAAACTGCTATTGATGAAGGTAATGGAAAACTGCAACAAGCATTGCTCAAAGTATAGTTAGATAGAACTGTATGCCAAACGTCACAAGCTATGATTGACATGGGAGTAAAGCATAAAGAAAAAAATTTAGTCAAATAAAGTTATAAAAGAAAAAACATTTTTCTCTAAACTTTTTATGTTATTTTTTATTAAATAAAATATCAAACTTTATAAATTTTGAAATATTATACATTATTATAATGTATTTCAATATACTATAATACTAAGTACATTTGTTTTCAGTCTGATCTTTTTTTTTTTATTATTGTTTATTTTTTGTTTTTTGATTTCCAGTAGATTTTGAACTAATTCTAGTGTAATGAAAAACATGTTTTCTATGATAATTTAAACATAATAAAAATGTGCAATATTTTTTAGCAACATACTCATATTATAATATATTATTTTGTTAATAATGCTTCAATCTCAAAAACAATATTGATGCTGCTGTCATTAATTTTAAGTTTTCCTTAATATTTATTATGATTTAAAAAATATTAAGGAAAACTTAATAATTATTAAATTAATTTTTTAAGATAGTGTTAATTTAATTGGTTTTTAAGGTGAAACAGCAATAAGAGAAATTAAAGAAGAAACTGGAATAATTGCTGGTTTGTTTCTTAAGTTTTTTGATAAATGTTCTTTATGTCTTACTTTTTTTGATAAATATAATTTATGCCTTTAATGCTGATATTTTAAAAAATACTAAATAGTTTTCTTTAATCTTAAAATTGTCTTATAATGCTTTCTTAAATCTATTATTAATTAATTTTTTTTTGAATTTTAATATTGTTGTTAAATTTTTTTCAAGAATTATTGATCTTTCATTTATCATCATTGATCTATCATTAGTGATCTGTTATTAGTGATTTATCATTAATGATCTATTGTTAGTGATTTACCATCGTTGATCTATTATTAGTGATCTATCATTAGTGATCTATCATCATTGATCTATCATTAGTGATCTGTCATCATTGATCTATCATTAGTGATCTATCATCATTGATCTATCATTAGTGATCTGTCATCATTGATCTATCATTAGTGATCTGTCATCATTGATCTATCATTAGTGATCTGTCAACATTGATCTATCATTAGTGATCTACCATCTTTCATTTTTGAACTTGTTGAATTTCTACTTATTTATGTTTAATTTGTTTTTTAAAATTTTTGATAAGAATTCAAATCTGTTTTATCACTACGTCACCTACATAATGGTTTATTTGACCAATCAGACATTTACTTTATATGCCGACTTCTTCCAATTACGTACGATATCAAACATTGTACAGATGAGATTCAAGATTGTAGATGGATCGATCTCGATACTCTTTTACATATGACTGATGCGTCACAATATGTGAAACTAGTATGTAGATTAATACTTGATGGAAAATCTTGCGACTTTAAAAATGTAGATATCGTTGAAAATGAGATGGTAAATTGGGTCCTCAAGAAGCGAATGAAACTTTATCACAGGCCATTAAACTAATATCTTTTTTATGAGACGCTGGAAATATGTGTATTTTTTAATAATATTATTGTATTTAATTATCACAGAAACTTTATCACATGCTATTTTAACTAATATATTTTTTATGAGGCGCAAGTGTTAAATTAAACAATCGCAATTTGCTAATATAATAATAATAAAATACTTTTGTAAGTTTTTAATACTATTAAAATATTCATTTTATTTTTCTAGATTTTTACTTCAATTAAAATTTGGGATTATTTAAATCATTTTTTATTTATTTATAATACCTTGATTAAGTGTTGTTTGAACAAACAATAAATTATAAATGTAAGTTATAAGTGCGTTATAAAAGTAATAACACTATTATAATGTTATTACTTTTATAACACAGTTAGTGTTATTACTTTTGTAACACAGTGACTATAGTGTTATTACTTTTATAGTTAAATTTTTTTTTTTTTTGGTTTTTTATAACTTTATCGCTAACAAATTTAAGTTAGTTAGCCTCATGAAAGCAAAGTACACGGCATAAACTAAAATTTTGAAATAAAATTTTTTGCATAAACTAAAATTTTGAAAATCAGGTATTTTTCTAGATATCGCGATCGCTTAATTCAACCCTTGTGAGACACTTGCAATATTAAAAATGTAGATATCATTGAAGGTGATATGATAAATTGGGTTCTCAAGAAACGAAGGAAACTTTATCACATGCTATTAAACTGATATCTTTTTTTAGGAAACGATGAAATATGTATAATAAGTTTTTTTAAGAATATTTTTGTACACCATATTTATTCGTTAATTTTTCCGATTTTAATGCTTATCTGATCTTTGTTTAACAAAAGCGCTTATATTTAGAGAACAAGTTATTTTGAATTTAACCTGACAGGAAAAAACGTTTTAAAAGTATGAGGCATTTTTTTAATTCAAGTTTTGACAACTTGACATCAACGCAAAAAAGTTCAAAATATCTAATTGTTTTTTTGATTTATATTGATACCCCCTGTTGATTCTGAAAATTTCACCGTTGCAAATAAGTTTGGGTTTATCTTAAAGAAATTATATTTGCGTGATAACATCTACGTGTTGCTTGTTAACAAATAATGTATATTATATGAATCTTAGTTCGGTTACAATAAGTATTTTCCTACTGTAATATACTAACTAATTTTGTTGTTTTTCATAAAATATAAATCAAATTACTTGTTGACATTGAAAATGACTAAACTACATAACGATTTTTACTTGTAGTAAGAGTAATTTTTGCTTGCTTATGATGCAAAAATTACTCTTATCACTCCAAATGCACGCAACGCTATGTGCAATTCATCCGTATATCTACGGATGAATTGTAATCGTTGCATGATCATAAGTACAAGGAATATTTGTTTTTGGGTTTCTTTGCAACTAGGTAAGCCTGATATTTGAGTTGCACCGTTTGATTTGACACATTATTTAGTAGTTCAACGCGGTTCTTTCTCAATTGAATCAGTGTTTTGTAAAGGGTTAGATTTGCTCAAAAAATTTCAAGCAAATTCGCCCTTTTAAAAAACACTGATTCAATTGTCCAACAGTTGACCATGGATTTTAAGTTACCTTTCAATAAAACAATCTTTTTAGATCTACCATTTATAATTTTATTAGCCAAATTAATGACAGGAACCTGGGTCTAATTATCTGTTTGTAGAGGAAAAAATAGTATCTTTGTTTAAAAAGTTTTACTGTAGGGCAAATCCGCCCTTTTAAAAAACTTTTAATTGTTCAATTGGATTTCAAGTTACTTTTCTGTATAACAAGAAATCTTTAAACGCCCCCCAGTTATAATTTTATTACCCAAATTTACGACCATCTAAATTCATACCCATAAAAGTCCCGTTGGATGGCATTGACGATAAAAGGAAACTTCGAAAGAAAGAACTTAATTGGTCCGTTGAAAGAAACTAAGTATGGAAAGAAGTATATTGTAGTTGCAACAGAATATCTAACTAGATGGGCTGAAGTTGATTCGATTGCAGACAAGGATGCGGGTTCTATTTATCGTTTCATTACTTGTCTGGTATTCAGATTTAGAACTTGCCACAATCTTCTTCACGATCAAGGTTGCGAGTTTTGTAACAAGATCGTGAATGATCTTATATTAGTTAAGCATAAGTACTTAGTTACTTGAGTTTGGCCTGGGTAATTAGGCCTAGATACTATTATTTTATTACTTGAGTTAGTAGTTAGTTGAGTATTATTAGCAAATTTAATAGTTTTAAATACAACAGTTACTTACTATAAAAAAGAATAGCACAAAGCATGTAGAACGTTGCGATATTAATTAATGGATGCTTTATCTCAGTTGGTGACAAAGTTTTGAAATGCAACAGGCGCAAAGACACACAAATAAGTGATAAATTAGCTCAAAAATTCCACGGCCCTTGCACAATAATAGAAGTTTTGGACTAAGGAGTTTATCGGTTGCAAGATAAAAGAAGAATATTAAAACTAACTGTTTACGCTATTAACCTAAAAAGATGGAATGAATGACAGAAACACTCCATGTCAAATAAACTTGCAGCCTCCGGTTTTAATATTGATGAAGTTATAGCAACAGTTACATTGAAAAATTCATTTAAAAAAATCAATAATTAACAAAAGATTCCAAAATCAGAATTCTGGATTTCAAATTCAATCTAACAATTTAAGATAAACAGATCCTGACATCATATGCATTGTTAAACGACAGAATTATTAATGTGGTTAACAAAATGGTCTCAACACATATTGGTAACAAAGACAACCAATCAACTCTTCTAGTACAGACACGATCTGGGTTTGAAGCCGTCACCTGTGAGTCAATCATCATTCTTCACGACGTCAACTATTGCGTGACAACTGCATGCATTGACGAAAAAGTTTTGCATTTAGATTCCGTTTTAAACTATGTTAAAGGTTAAATGAGACAAAGTATAAAGGTCAAATGAGTCAACTCTATGTGAATCATCTTAACCCCGAAGGTTTTTTTTCAGTAATAATAGTATCATGCGCACTACAACCGACCGCATCGGACTGTGGTGGTTTATGCAGCTGTCTTTGCCTTTCAGATGGTAATTTATGGATGATGCAGCATACCTCCTGCCCAAATTTTGGTTTATTTAAACACTTAAGATTAAACAAAAAGGCCCATGTTTAAAATAAGTTTTATTCAATATGAGGTTGCAATAAAGTATTTTTGTTATAAAAATGTAAATAAAGTATATTTATAAGAATATAAGTAAAAGTATATTTATACGAAGGTAAATTTAAGTGAACTTACACAAATATAGATTAAAGCATACTTATACGAATATAGATATTTATATCTTTATGTTATTGATGGTATTATGGTAAGATAATGTTACTAGTTTTAATAATACTAGTAGTACTGTTAAACGATTATTTAATTATGTTAATTATTTAATTATGTAACTTTAAATAGTTTTAGGAGTAAAAGTACCACTAAATTTTTATATGTTTTCTTTAAAATGACACCGTTGTTTATGTGTTTCTTAAAAGAACACTGGTATTACTTTTAAGAAATACACAATGACATTGATGTTTGTATGTTTTTTTTACAAATAACACAGTTGTTTATGTGTTTTTTTACAAACGACATTTTTGTTTGTATAATTTTTTTTACAAACAACATTGATGTTTAAGAGTTATTTTTTTTACAAACAACACTGATTTTAAAGTTAAATTTTTAAACTATAAGATAAGATCTGTAAAGCTAAAAGATTATTTCACGAAAAATGTAAAGATCATTTCACAAGGATTGAACAATAAAATGATTAAAGAAAGAGAAGTAAAAAATATGTATTTATCTCGTAGATAAACTTATCATCTGTGAATGGGATTAGAAAAAAAATGATGCGAAATTTTGCGATTGATGCCTAATATTTTATAGGGTATTAATTCTTATCATTGAGTTTTTAAAATGGATTTTACATTCATTTAATGCATAAATTCTAAATAAAATTTATTTCTATATTTTAAAAACACTAAAACGGACTTGAACCATGAAAATAATTTTAATTCTTTTAAATTATAAAAATTAAAACAGTAATTTACCAAAGCAGGTGCTTTGGTAAATTATTGTTATAATTTTTATAACAATAAAATTAATTTTTATGAAAATAAACTTAAAGAATTTTTATTCAGCGAGATCACATAAACGTGACTTCTTACAAAGCAAAAAGTTTAAAAATAGTTTTGAAACTTTTAAAAATACTCTTGAGAAAAGGTTAAATACTTTTAAAGCAAAATGCGTAGCTGAAACAAACAAAATGCGTAGCTGAAACATGATGTAACTCTGATGAATCATAATTTAACTCGAATCTCCATTTGTCAGGTTTTAATCTTTGGTAATACAAAATTAAGAAGTTTGACCAAGCTTTTGAAAAATTAAGAAGTTTGACCAAGCTTTTGAAACAAAGGCATTTCACCAATTTATAAACTCTTTATTTTAAATTCTGTATTCTATTGTGAAAGTATGCTCAAATCATTCAAAATAACCAATAATACGTAATATTTAAATATAAATGTATTCAAATATCAGGTAGATAGCAAGATTAAAAGATTTTATAATGACGTAATGTAATGACGTAATGTAATGACCTTAATAAAACTTTAATATAAAAACTAAATACTTTTAAACAGAATTTGTTTTAGAACTTTATAAAATAACAATCGTGATTTGCAACTTTGAAAATAAATATACTTTTCAAGTTTTTGTTATTTTACTGTAAGAAAAATAACTTTTTAATTTATCTTCAAATTATGCCTTATCATTTCTTGATAGGTTATTTGCTGCTGATATGCAGCAAGCAGTCAAAAGCTCAAATCCATTCATGCATAGATCAAAAACCATAGTGAGAGACATGCCTAGTGTGTTTTTTTGTAACTATGCTAACAATATTTTTATATCTGATAGGTTATAGTCCCAAACAGAGCGTGAATGACTTCTTTTAGTAAATTGAGTTAATGCAGTGTGAACTTTTTCATTAGTATGGTAATGTAATTTTGTTATCACTTTCAATTTCTTGCGACTATGGCAGAATTATTATTGCAGAGATATTTCTTCTAAAACAATAATTTCGTTGTTCCTTTGTTTCTATAAAAGAAGACAAAAATCTAATTCAATAATGATGTATTAATGCATAATAATTTTTATGTTAGGAAAACTCTTTTTTTAACTCATGTGAGAAAGTCTTTTAATTTATGTGAGGAAGTCTTTTAATTTATGTGAGAAAGTCTTTTAATTTATGTGAGACTCTTTTTTAAAAGTTCCATTCCAAATTCCAAAGTATGTTAAAAGAATGTTTTTGGTTTGCTTTAGAAGATATTGCCTAAAGTTTGCAGAGCTGTTTAACCTGTACCAATGGGGCAAGTCGAACAACTGTGTGGGACAAATTGAGCAATCATCTAATAAATGAATTGTTCTGACATGAAACTCGGATAAATCATCAATAAAACTATTGTTAACAGTGAGCGTATCTATAATTTATAAACTTTTTATTTTATACATTTTAATGACGTAACAGAAGAGAAAAATTAAGTAGTAATATATATAACTAAAATATAAAAATATTTTGTTGTGTACAACTATCTTTATTACTTTGTAAAACTCGAACTATCATATTTTAAAAATATGTACCGCAAGTTTCTTTTTTATTAAAATTGTTACTTTGTGTAACAATTTATTAGAGAAAAATAGCAATAATTTTTTTTACATTTTTGGTTCAAAATAGAAAAGTACATCTTATTCAAATCCAACAAACTTTTGTTCCACATTGTGTTACCATTCTAACTATCTATATTTCATCTATTGAATGTTTTGACATGTGATGCGTAGTTTTCGAGTTATTTTATTGCCCAATTTATCATTATGCTGAAATAGTCCCGCTCTTATATATATATACAAATTTATATATATTTATATTTAACCTTATATATATACAATTTATTAACTTATATATATATATATATATATAATTTATATTTAACCTTATATATATACATAGTTTGTGTATATATATATATATATATATTTATATATATTATACATATATATATATATATATATATATATATATATATATATATATATATATATATATATATATAATTTGTGTGTGTGTATATATATATATATATATATATATATATATATATATATTATATATATATATATATATATATATATATATATATATATATATATATATATATATATATATATATATATATATATATATATATGTATATATATATATATATATATATATATATATATGTATATATATATATATATAATTTGTGTGTGTATATATATATATATATATATATATATATATATATATATATATATATATATATATATATATATATATATATATATATATATATATATATATATATACACTAAAGAAAACATGCTAATTAATAGCTCATAACCGTTTATTTTAAACAGTGGCGCGCCAAAGAAGTTTGTTGCTCGGGTGGAAAATATTATTTACCGCAACTAAGTATGTCAACAAAAAATATATAATAAAATATAAATGTATGTAAAATACATACTTTATTCTCACATTTAAAACATGTCATCTTAAAATTTTTATTATCTGCAGGTAAAAATAAATTAGGATTTCATTATATAAAGAAAAGCTTTTTTGAAGATAAGTATGGTTGCTTGAACAAATTTGATCAAGGTTTTGATTACATGTACTAAAAACTTGGAATAACTATTGTGTATGGACTTGTTAGCAGAGTTTTTGTAATTTATGTTTAGAAATTTGTAGTTTTACTTGATGTCGTTGGCAACCTGTTAAAATAATTTAATTATTCAAATATATAGCATGACTTAGGATGATTTAGTTACTATTTATTGCTGAAAATAAAATTGTTATCAGTAATCAGAGATATCAACAAAAATAGAACTGCGTCATAATAAAACTTATTAATAATCCTAATATTATATCAATCAGATAATAAAACTATTTATACATAATAATACTACGTCATTTTTATTATTTACAGATTTTTAATTTACGTCAAAATAAAGGCAGCTCATAACTAACATAAGTTTTCTTACTAAGCTGAGCAAGTTTTTTAGTAGTTTGGTGAGTACTAATGTTTTAGCGCTGAACTTACAAACAAAACTAGGACTTGTGAAAGTTTGGTGAATATGAAAGTTTAATGAATCACTCTCTGGAAAATTATTAATAACTAAGCATACATTTTTAGAAAGTTCTCAAATGATTGCTGAATATATTTAGTAATATCAACAATTATCAAACGTTTTTATTATAAAATATTAAATTGTATTAACAACTTTTCTTAAACAAGTATTTTCCCTAGATTATGAGTAAAATCAAATTTCCTCCAGATTATAAGTAAATTTAAGGGTTCTACGGGATTATAAGTAAATTGCTTAAAAACAATAGTTTTAGTTTCTATATTTGTATACTTTTAATTTTGGTCTTTTTTTTATAAAAACAATAAAATCTTTAATATTACTAATAATAAATATTGATTGTTTAAGAAAATCAATTTAAACGAAAGAATCAAAATATAAGTCAGAAACTTTTCTTCGCGTCGCTTTTTTTTCTCTTTCTATTTGAACATCCAAAGGAGCCACTGCTTGCTCTCGATATACAGGGGCCACTCCTTGCTCTCGATAAAAAGGGGCCACTGCTTGTTCTCGATAAAAAGACTGGTATTGATTTTTATTCATATTATGTTGACAGCATTGACAATGAAAGGTTGGTCCTTCAACGTAAGGATATTGTATGTTTGGCGATTTTGTTTTAAGGTTATCGTTTGAACTCTGAAACGCAATTAGATATGGTGCGTAAGCTATCTTCGGATTGAAGAAATGAGATTTATTTGAAGTGAGTTCACTACATGAAGAAGATCTTTTATCTTTCCCTACGTAGTTTAAACTTTTAATTTCCGAAGGCTTTTTAACAGTTTTTTTGCAAGTAACAGGTTGTTTATAATTTGCATCAGAATCAATTATATTAATGCAGTTTCTATTTGAGTTTAGAAAAGCCAAAGTTTGTTCATTTTCCTGATAAATAAGTGGCATACTACTTGTTTTTGATAAGTGTTGACTGCTTCTATCAACTCTTTCTCGTTCTACGTAAGGACGCTGCAATTTTGTCCATATTGAACGTAATGCATCAGGAATCGATCGATTGCTAGAAGTTTTTTTTAAATGTTTACCTTGTTCCTCAAATTTATCTTGTTCTTCTAGTTTATCAATATTGCGCATACTGTATGACTGTCCTCCAACCTTTTCAAATAACTTTGCAAGTAAAGGTTTCTTATTAGGACGAGTAAACAAACGCGTCAAAATTTCATCTTCGTCTTCATTGTCTTGAACTTGATGATTAACTAAATTTTCTTTAAAAACATTATTTTGATTTGTATTTTTTATATTGGAGGAAAATGACAAGTGATTGTTGTTTTGTTTTATTGAACTTTGATTTAAATTAAGATTGAGCAAATTGTTTGCGGTTTGTACGTAACTACTTGTCATTAGTGAGAGACCATTTTGTTGGACGTTTTTTTTTATTTTTAAATTTTGAACGCTGTTTTTCAACTTTTGGAATGAGTTTTTTTTTTTCTTTTTGAGCAATATTTTTGATTTATGTCGATCGTATTTAGACGGAACATAAACAGATAACGGATTCGAAAAGACGTCAAGTGGAGATGAGCTTTTGTTTAACAAACTACAATCGAAAACAGAAGGGTTAACATTATAGTTAAATTTTTTTAGTGCTTCATTTTGGTAACACTGTTCTAAAATTTCTCTTTGTTTTTTTTCAATACGCGTAGTATCTTCACAAAATGCTTCTGCTTTGTTAAAATCAAAACATTTAGTAGGTTGAACATTAATTCTTGATGATGGTGTCGCAATGTAGTTAAACTCATCCTGCTGGTTCCAATTGCTCAAGGTTTCTAAATGAAAAAAAATTATGAAACAATAATTTATAAACTTTACAAATTTATAAAATTTATAAACTCTAGTGTCCTCACAATCAATGAAAAAAATTATAAAAAAAATTTAAAAAAATCTTTAAAGAGAATTGTTAAAGAGAACTCTTATGAGAGAACCATTAAATTGAACTTTATAAGGAGTTTTTTTTTATGACTTTATGAGGGAGTTTTTTTTTTTCGATGACTTTATGAGGGAGTTGTCATTGATAAAAATCATGAAATCTTTATGAGAGAATTGAGAATCTTAAAAAAGTTAGTATACTCTTTGTTTACAAGGTAAATAAAAATAACCCGCTTTTAGTACTTTGTTTTCTACTGTTTGTGAAATTAAAAAAATATTTCTCTAAGAAAATATAGTTATAATCTTAAGAAAACAAAGAAACTGAAGATTAAATAAATAGTAAGTCTTATTTCTAAAACTGCTTAAAAGTGAGCCATATTATAGCTTAACTTTTTCAAAAGAGTTAATTCAATAAGTACACGGGTGAAAATACAGGCGGAGATAACTACAATTAATAAACAACGCCTTTTAAAAATGACTCGTCGCGCCCCGATAATTTTAATTTTAAAGAAATATATTTTAATAATAAAAAAAAAATTTAACTTAATGATTAGAAATTAAAATTTTAAATTTTTAAATTGGTGTGTTTTTTTTTTACCAAACGTATTTAAGTAAATCTCGGTGACACGTTGTTGTTATAAGTTAAATTCCGTCACCGTGATTTACCTATGAATCTTATGCAACTGCTATATTAATAAATCTTTTTTTTATTTTTAACGACAATTTTAGCTTAGGCAGTTTTCTCCTTATGCATATAGCTTTAGTTATATGTACGAAAATATATGTTAAATATATGTGCGAAAACATACGTAAGAGAGTATATGTGTTGAAAAGTATAGACTATGTTGCAATAGTATAATTACTAGCTGATTCGTTATCAAATAAATAATACGATGTAACAGTATACAACACTGAGCAGCAAAAATACTTTAACTCACCAGTTCTTCTTGCTGACTTTCCGTTGCACGAAAAATCAGAGGACGATCCAGAATCTGTTTTTGTAGAAGAAAACCCGCTATCTGTGGAGACGCATCTTTTAACTGAACAATTTTTGTAAATGTTTGTTTTATTTTTCTCAATAAATTTCTTATGCTTGTCATGTCGAAGATCACTGCCAGTATCCGAATCAAAGCCATTGCAAAATGAATATTGACCAGAACTGCTGTTTTTCTTATTTTCAAAACGCATACGTTGTAAATACTGAGCTTCAAATGTTGAGTAGTTATGAAGATGCTGTATGTTATGAACTGCAAGATGTTGTACAACAGTAGAAGATTTATTTATGAGTTTTTTTCCGTTGGCCATAATGACGTAAAAACCTATAAAGTATCTTGATAGCGTAAATCTTTATGCATTTTTTTTTTTTGAATATTCAAAATTAAAAAAAAAATTTATTACTATTTATAATTTATCTATATATTTAAAGTAAAAACAAAACTAAAAAAAGATTTTAAAACAGAACAAAGTGCAGCACGTAACGGGATCAATTTGTGTGTTTGTTTCTCACTATATTAATTGTAGGTGGTCAATTTAAATAAACTGTTAACGTTTAGTTTCAAGAAATCCGAATATTTATCTCAAAAATAAAAAAAAAACATTTTTAATAGATAAATACGATGAGTTACAAACAATAACACAAGCTAGCGACTCTCATTGGACTATCTCGCTGCGATAATTTGATGCGGATTTAAAATGGCAGACAAGTACGTGTCTTCGCTTCTTTTTAAGACGCAAAATGTATATAAATTCACAGAGTTAAAAGGAAAAAAAATTATATATATTTTTTTTACAAAAAATCAAATGGTTTATCTGCCATTTAAAAATATTTTTTTTCAGAAGTTTACGACGTAAGTCAGCTAAAATAAAAAATGCAAACTATAAAAATTTGATCAATGCAATAAGAAACTTTACCTTTAAGACAAATAAAACGCAAATAAAGCCTCGTTCTGATGTCGTGCAATAGCAGAATATGTAATATATTAATTGAATGTATATAGTCGGATTTTTACACTCACTGCATCATTACTATGTACATTTCTATTAAAATTAATTGACACATAAGTAAATAATGCGAATAGATTGAAAAAAAGATTTATATAATTCTTTTTCCGGTTGATCAAAATAAAAAATTTCATTTGGCTTTAATTTGAAAATATTCATAAAAGGGTTTAAAGTTTTGCTTTAATTTATTTGACAACTTGGATGTCTTTTAAAAAATTTATTTCCATAATGTTAAAGTTGATTGCGTCAAAAATGACTTATTGCATAAAAAGATATTTTCGTCTTATTTTATAAAAAATACAAATGCTATTAAACTTCTATCTCATATATTAATAAATACCCAAGTCAATAAACACAGTCTATGAATTATAAAAATTTCTGTTGAAAGTTTTTTTTCACATTTTAAACCCCGTTTTTTTCTTTCAATGAACATATGATGAGGTTAAAATAAGTTATTAAAATAACGTAATCGTTGGATTTAAGTGGTTATCTTTAAATCTGTAGGATGTTCCGCTAATGCATCATTTTTAAAGATCATAAAGAAGACATAAGAAGCTTTTATATTAAATACAGTGCAATATTGATAAAGTATTGGTTTTACTGCAGATTACCGAAGAGCTGTTTTAAAAACAATTAATTAAACAATAAGACTGAAAAAAAAATACAGTCCAAAGTTGCCAAAAGAAATTTTGCAACTAGATTCAAAATCAGCGTGAGAAAATTGTTTGCGTTCTTAATCTATCAATCTGCGCATTTACACTGACAGCGCTATACAACTTCATCCTCCCTGCATTTTACATCAAACACCGTGTCATATAATCCATAGTTGCAAAAACAGCTTATAAACTAAAATTCTTTTTTTTGAAGTTGTTTAAAAGTTTGAAAAAAAAAAAAGATAAAATAACAGAAAAGTTTATTTAAGCTTATATTAATTTTAAATGGTTTAAAAAGTATAAATAATTTAATAAAAAAAAAGAAAAAAAAAAGGAAAAAAAGATTTGAGAAGTGTAAGTTACAAAATAATTAAACCTTTTTTTTAATTAGCTTGCAAGGACTAGAAGATTAAATCTTTTATCGTTAAATGTACATTTACTTCTGCGAAAATAAATTAACGTGTGCTCAAGAATGTGTTCACGAATGTGTTATAGTTGAAACCATTTGCTAGAAACGAAAAAATATTAATCACGTAAATGTGTCGGCTTGATTTTTTGACAAATGTGCTCAGTCTAAGTTCTAGCTGCGAGACAGGTGTTTATTATTGCGCAAAGAAAGATAATATAACTTGAAGCAAGCCAAAAATCTAGTTACGTCTTTCTATCGTTTTCCCACAGACATGCTAACAGAAGTATAAGAAATTATTATAATGGAAGTTAATTTTCACAAATAAACGAGTATATGCTAATAACTTAGCAGTTCAATAAGAAGTTTTATAAAAAGTAAAAAACTGCTGGAAAAATATTTCTGGCTCCAAGATACTTAAACACACGTGCAACCCGCTGCTGCATCTTAACAATTGCAATCATGCGCATTTTATAAAAAACAAAGAACAACTGTAAGTTAAAAGGTTTTATAAGTTTCATTCAGTTTCTTCATATTCTTTCTTTATTCTTTATGTTGTTATGCAAAAGAAAATGAAATTAATAAATAAATAGTTTCAAAACTTTTTATTTGTTTTTTACCTATATAAAAACTTTTGATGTTTATCTTTCTTAATCTGTACCTTGCAACGGTTGTCTTGAATTTTATATTAAAATAAAACCAGTTTTTATTTTATTGATTTCCACAAATTCAATAAGTCTCGGTTTACTAAGTAATTCATTATTACGTGTCATGAATACGCGTTTTATAATTAAACTTTGAAGACCTAAATTAAAAAAAATTGTTTACATTTATATACAAATATTGATAAAAGCAACATTTATTTTACACCTTTTTAATGCAAAAAAATGCAGCCTTTATTATTTAATTTTAAGTAATAATATAATATCAAAATTTTTTTTACTTAGTTAAAAATAAAACACAAGAAAATAAATAACAAACTAAACCAAAAAACTACATAAGCCAAGAAAAGTATGCACGTTATTTCTTCTCATACGCACATTTAAAATAACGTAAATAAGAAAAAAAATATTTTTTATATCCCACGATTAGTGTTGCTGTTTTTGTTTTTTTTTTAGTTTATAAAGGTGAATACCTAACTGTTTTGAAACAGGACACCGCGGAAGAACTCATGAAGAGAACGTTTGCGCCGCCTTCCATACCGATGTCGCCTTCATGGCCAGAGCAGGCATTGAACCTCGGGTTCTAATTTTCTATTCAAGATCACTGTTTGAATTCCCCACATAATCAGAATCAGTAATTTTCCTATCCTAAAATCATGATTTTAGCGGCAATTTCTTTTATCACACGATAAAGAAAAAGTATTCAGAATAAAAGTTTAACTAATTTACATTCTATTATTCTCATATTAGTAGAATTCTTAATCAATCGCAACAACAAAAAAGTATAATGATTTTTTTTATGTTACAACATTGAAATTGAAAAAAAAAAATTCTATTGTTAATGCAAAAGTTTAAAATCCCTATACACTTTTATCCTCCACTTTTACGGTTGTGTTGCGGCTCCTTTTTTTGTCCTCCATTTTTATTGTTGTATATTTTTTTTTTAACATTTTTGCAATAACATTGATAGGTAGTTGTTTCCATTTCTTTTTAATTATCCTTCATTATTGTTTGCTTCAAAGTTAAAATAAGATATTTAATACATTATAAATATTAAAAAAAAAAAAAATTAAATGTGAAGTACTAGATATAAATAGAATTTACGGAGTTTTATTTAAGAAAATTATTTGCCAACTTTTTAAAGTTTTATTTTAATCTAAGTTGAATAGAACATCTCAAAACCACCACAGTAACACTCTGCTCGTAACCACCTTTGCATTATTCTACTCTTAAACACCACTGCATCACTGCACCACTGCAATGCTGTGCTTGTAAGCTTTAACTATTTTATTTTGAAAATAAAATCTTCGAGCCATTTCTTCATGTCATGTTTTAGTTACACTTGCATTACAAATAAATCCTTCAAGTTGTTTGTTCTTATCAACTATTGGTTACAATTGCTTTGAAACAAATCCTTCTGGTCCTTTATTTTGTCATGTTTACTTTTTAACCCTGACGGTCCTTTATTTTGTCATGTTTACGATAAAAATTTATTCAACTCTGCTAACATTCTGCATATTATATTTAAAAAAAATTAAAAAAAAAAACGTTTGATAACTATATTGTAAAACTTTAGACTTCAAGTTCCAAAACAGGTTTATTAAACTTTATCTTCTGAAATAAAAATAAACCCTAACTTTTGTATTTTTTTCCATGCATATTTGTATTACAGAGTGCTTCCAAAATTATTACTTTGGTCCATATCATGGTCGTCATAACCATAAGACTAAAGGTTTAGCACAAAAGGCTACGTTAACTTTATTGTTTTCACTCAGTCTAAGATAAGTAAATTCAAACCGTAACAGAAAAGTTACAACTTACAAATCAAAATAGATTCTTTTTTATTCGATAACTAAAAAACGTTATTTATCCCCAGCTCTACCTAATACTTTTATTGACCAAATTGCAATAAAAAAGATTGCGTCACAAAATTCTTAGGTGTAGGGGAAAAGTTGGGTAGCCTCGGACGGTGGGTAACTCCGGACACTTGATATACAGCTTGAACTAAAAAAGTTGTAACTTTAAATACTATAAAAACATTATTTGAGTGAAAATATGGCATATGCAAAATATCTATCATAATCAAAGCGATTGGCTGGGAGTACAAGATATTTTTTTCACCATATTAATATATCTAGTTTGCATGTAAATAAATAACTTTTTATTGATTAAAGACACTTTTATTTACAATTTTTTTTTTGAAAAAAAAAGTTTGTATAATACTTTATTTAACTGGTTTTAAAACTAGTATTTGCGAATGAGGTATAATCGGGTTGTATCGGACACATGTTTGAAGCGTGGTTCCGGACAACTTAATCCATTTACATATTTAAAATGAGCAGCTTTTTTATAAAAGTAATAATAAATTTAATATAATACACAAACTAATAATAATTCATTTCATTCCAATAAAAAGATCTAAGATTTGAAAAAAGTGTTTTTATTGTGTTTATTTTCATTAGTAAAAAGCTTATGTTTGTATTTCTAAACGATGACATTTTCATTCCCATTTCTTATATATCAGAGATAATTTTTTAAGGCGGTTTTTTTTTAATGTGTTGAGAACATTCCAATGCTAATTAATTATATATTATATTTGTGTCACACGCATAAAAAAAGAGGTAAAATCATGGTTAAGTTATGCGTCCGGGGCTACCCTTCAATTTTGAAACATTTCTTTTTTCTAACATTTTTTACTTAAAATGCTTTGTATATTATTAAGGTACACAAAAATAACTTTTTTGTTTTTAATTCAATAGATAAATGTTTATTCTTTTGTATTTGCATCTTACATGTGTAAAACCTATTTTTTCCTTAAGTATTAGGGGCTACCTGACTTTCCCCTATTACTTGTTGAGAGCATCGCATGGAAGCAATATACTGATTATGTTGGTACTAAAGTTTTCCACTAATATTGGATTTCTTTTTAAGACCAGAATCTTTATAAATAATAACTTTTTATTCTAACTTTATTATGCATTCATTCATAGCTATATGAATTATGAACATATTGCTTGGACATCCACTCTACCTACTTCTTTGCATCTTTTTAAAATCAAGCTAAAAAATATTTTACTCTCCCATATTATCGAAATCTGATAGTAATATCTTTCTTTATGGATATATTTATAAAACTTTATCTATAGTACAAAGTGATATGTTTATGTATATATTATTTTATTATGTTGTAATTATAATTACTAAATAACCTATTATTTTGTTTTCACTAGTGTAAGGTACTGACGATAAGATCTTACTGATCTTGATTCATATTTTTAGTTTTTTAAACGTTAGTAGTATTTGCTTACTTTATAAATAGTATTAATTTTTATCTACTCTCGTTATATTGTAAAAAAAAACTGAAAACTAAAATGTTGAAAAAAAAAAGCTATGCTTGTTTTTTAATAGAAATTAATGATTTGATTTTGAAGTTTTCAAATAATGTTACATATTTATGAACTTTTCACGTTTTTTATAACGAATAAAAATAAAAATGTTTTACTTGCTGTATCGTTGGTATTCAAAGTAAAAGTTAACTACAACTTTTAAAAAATTGTGATAAATATAAAAATATACTTGAAAAATATGCTATATAATCTGGTAAAATATTCTCAACAGTTGCGTTTTTTTAACACCCTCTCTCATCAATGAGAGACGTTTAATTTAACACCCTCTGTAGTTATATTTTACTATTACCAACTGTACATACATTTACAAAATTAAAAAAGATTTAAAATAAGTTTGAAAAATCTTCGAAAAGTTTTAAAGTAGTTCTTTATTTTTGATTAAAAAAAAATATATCGAATTGCAGACAGTTTAGTATTGTACGTGAGTATAGCAACGTTAGGTTTGAATATTTAAACTATAATGTCTTAAGTTTACTGTTTAAAAAGTTCTTTTAATCCGACAAATTCTTTTAATCCCAAATCGACAATTTAGAAAAATAATCTTGCCTTTTTGATATGACGGTATGATCATAAATGACGATATGATCATATATGACGGTAGATCAAAAAATTTGTAAAGAATGTTTGTAAATCAGCATAAGATTATATTGAGTTTAATCATTGGCTAAAGAGATAAAATCCATTTTACTTTTTATTTGATACAACTGTTCTTCAAAAATATGATTAAAAAATATGCTGGGACAAAGTTCTACATACCTATGAATTTCTTACTTTTATAACACATTTTTTAAACTAATTATATCCGAAGAGTTCTATTAAAAGGTTATAAGAGATGTTTGAAAGTGTTAGTTCTGGAGACAAGGGGTGTTTTAACGCAAAATAAAAGTAAAAAATGATTATAAAAAACATGCACTAAAAAAAAACAAACGAGCCTCAATTTAAAACAACTAAAAAATCAGTTACTTAGGTTAATTTCAATTTTTCAATTTTCAAATTCCCTTTCTGATAATCCAGGTAATTTTTTTAATGGTTATTTGAGCCTTACAACATTGATACGAAACTTTATTCGTACCAAAACGACTTTACAAACTATATCTAAGATAAGTGTTAGCTCAAACTCTAAACTAATTTTTTTATTATTATTAGAGGGAATTTATGAAACTTAAAACTGTAAAAATAAAATAGTTTTATTCATTTCTGAGTTATTTTATTCTCTTTGGATTAGAGACATGAGTGAAACAATAGAACTGATAATTTTATTTTATAACCGAAATTATAATATGATTTGTTAAATGTAATTATACCATAACAAAAATTATTTTCAAAGAACTTTTAAGATGACTCATAAAAATAAAAGAAAAAAAGTTCCAAACGTTTTTATTTGCTTTAAATTTAGTATTATGTATATAAAAATGCACCTATGAATATAAAACTTGGTTTATATGCAAATATTTCATTAACACAATTTACTAAGTAAATATTTTTTAAAACTATTTTTAATATATATATATATATATATATATATATATATATATATATATATATATATATATATATATATATATATATATATATATATATATATATATATATATATATATATATATATATATATATTTGTGTGTGTGTAAAAGAATTAGAAAAATATACAATCCAACTGTGTACATAAAAACTGATTCCATCCACGCCTATTCGCTTTACAGATGTAAATAAATGTATTATACAAATACACTTCC